GAGCTTTTTTACGATTGTGAGGTGTTCATTCATAATACATCGTATCCGTCAACTTATTAATGCTGCACATCTATCCAACATATTATGAGAACTATACGACTGTAGGCGAAAATGTACTTTTCCTTAAACAGGATGTACACAGTGCGCGGTTTGTAAACCTTGAATTCGAGTGTAACAGTCAGTAAGTTACAAAATTATTCGGCAATTTAGGAACATTTTTAAAACCGAAATATACCCTTTCTTTAAGTATAAAGTTTAAAGAAGGCGTAATTTTCTATCAAAAAATTACAAGAAATAATTTTTTCGTCCACGTTTTCCATAAAATATATTTGAATTTATAAAGGCAGTCAAATCAATGATTCGCTTTCCATAAAATATATTTGAATTTATAAAGGCAGTCAAAATCAATGATAAGACATACTGATTAAGTAGTCAGTTTTTACATTAGGTACGTTTTGCTAGGAGTCGGAATGAAGCTAGTTAAAAAGCCGGCATCCTTTACTGACTGAAATGACTTCAGAATAGACTACACGATAATCAGTATCACAATTGGGCTCAATTCCGATTAGCGAAAGAGTATTAGTCTTTCGCATATGTCGAAATGTTGGCTGAAATGACTTCAGAATAGACTACACAATAATCAGTATCACAACTGGAGTCGCTGAAATGACTTCAGAATAGACTACACGATAATCAGTATCACAACTTGAGTCACCTCAAAATACACTACACGATAATCAGTATCACAACTGGAGTCAATTCCGATTAGCATGATCAACATCGTCTCCTGTACGTTTTGTTGGTGGTCATAAGGACGCTCAGCAAAAAGCCCGCATGCTATCATGGCTGGAATAACTTCGGAGTAGACAACACGATAATCAGTATCACAAGCTGAGTCAATGGTGATTAGCGAAACGGCAGCAATCGTTCGCATATGTCGGCACGTTGCACGAACTCTGGCGCGTACTGTAGCAGGCGTCATGCGCAGCAGCTTCACATTGATGGGCTGGGTATGCTGGCGATATGGGTGCTGGCCGCCACAGTTAAACAGCAAGCTGACTGCCCCTAGGCAGGATTTCCGAAGCAATCGTCTAGAATTCACCAGAATGACCACTAGGCTCACTTAATTGTTAGGG